CAGACAGACAGACAGACAACCTTTATTTAACCACAATAGAAATTAAAGCTAAGTAGCTTATAGGGTCGTGCATAATAATTTAAATTAAATTAACACAGAGTCAGACTCAACAATTCCGAGTTCTACTAAAAAGGAGTCAAACCTCCACTACCATGCTATAAGAGACTTGTAGGAGCCAGGCCATACTACATCAGTAGCTACTTATTTGAATGTTTGGTTAAGTTGATTGTCCTTTGTAAACAGATTCCCATTCAACCTGAAGATTTTGTTGGGTCAAGGATGTTGAAAAAGTACAAAGCTAAACAGGTAAGGCTGGTGAGCCAGCACACGGTCAGCATGCAATAATGTGCTGACAACAATATCGATTAACCATCATAGTGCAACGTTTTCATAACATAACTGTGTGTAACACAATTTGTCGGAAAATGTGTCAAAGTCCAGCAAGCACTGATATATCTGCTGGTAAAACAAGATAAAGAGACAATCGGTCAGTGAGTGAACTGGTGTAAAATCTGTTCCAAGTGTTCCAAAAGCTTACAAGCATTGTTTTATTAATACTGGATTACATTCGAATTGGATTTTCTGTTCCATGCAACTTAACAGTGTTGAAGTGTTATATCCAATATTTTTGTTGAGGGCAGGGTATTTCTCTAGTCTCCCACACAGACTCTTTGGGCTTGTTATTTTACTTACTTTTTACTTATTCAGGCTTAACACAATAACGTTCGATTAAATCCTTCGTTTGTGTTGGATGCTTTTGGTGAACTATTGCTTATTGTTACAATTTTTAAATACTAAATGATGAAAGAGACGTTAAAAGTTCAAGCACCTCTCTCATCATTTCACCCGTTGAAGACTACAATTTAGGCAAACGAAAGCTTGTGTTGTATAATATTTTTAGCCAGAGATCGTTTTTAAGTTTTACTAGATATTTAAAATTGAGCATTGCTCTTCGCACATCAAATGATTTCATATCAGCCGCATCTGTTACATGGTGCTCGAGTTTAAAAATGCGCACCTTCTCAGTAGATTCCTTTCCCTGGAACTTCTTTATCTTACATTTGGCGACAATTAATAATAACTCATTTGTATTGATACTGCCGTATCATTGCTTAGCCTGATAACTTTCTCTTTCAGATTGCGGCTCGTATTCTTGAGGCACATTCTTCCCTGAACAAAAGTTCATTGATTGAGTCTAAAATGTTATACATCAGACAGTGGCAGGCATTACCCGAGTTTGGTCTTTCTCATTTCATTGTTCGATTTCGTGGGTCCAAGAAAGAGGTAAATCATAGTGTAAATATTTTTGAGTGTCACTAACGTTTCAACAGTGTCTGTGTAATAATTAATTAACGTTGTGAGTGGAGTGACAAAACGTCATTTCTTAGCATAGCGACATGCCATTTTCAGTCAGTGGGTTAAACCATAATCGTCTGTGTTATCACACGGTACCAAGTGTTTTTCATTCGCCCATTATTCTGTGTAGCCATGATTACCAAAACATTAGGGTGTGAAATTCTTTGCCACTCACTGACTTATTCACTTAAGAAGAGATTTATCTTGATCAGCGTCTCTTACAGGATGATACTGGTAGCTTTTATTACAGTCAGGTAGATACTCGCCGATAGCCTCCGAATTTGGTTAGTGTGACAGAGTCGTAGACAACAGTGTAAAATCTGAATTGTTTGGTCATAAGTAGTGAGGCCTGTGGCTTCAGCGTTGAGGTTGGTGCTATGATTGTGGCCTGTCGAAAGAAGTGAGGCTGGATATCGTTTACGGACGTTACTCATTCATAAAGTTCAACCAATTTTCATTCCTCTATATGTCAGAGCATGCCTAACCAATATTTTTTGTAACTCGCACTTTTGCGTAATCTTTGGAGTGGCAGTTCAAACTCCGCCATGACTTCATCTTTCCTTCCGTTATAGGAAGTCCTTGGTATAGCTTTTAACAGAATCATGCGAGTGGACCCAGCAAGTCGTGAAGCTCTCAAGACGTGGCGATACAGTGTGATGAAAGCTTGGAATGTAAACTGGGAAACCAGGGAAATGGTTGTACAGTGTGAAGGAGAAACCATTACGTTCGGATGTACCAGCGCAGACATTAAAGTAATTCATGAATTTATTGGAGGGTATATCTTCATGTCAATGAGAAAGGATGTGAATCAGCCGCCGAATGAGGAGCTGTTCTTCAAGTTGACTGGAGGGTGGGTTTAGAACCAAAAGTCGCGTGCTATTGGACCAACCATGTCAACTGTGACCGGCTTTGGTGCAGTTTGACACTGGTTGAACTTTGATTGATTGGTTAATTCCAATGAAACACGGTCATTCAACCGACTAACAAAAGTAACAAAGAAACGTTTCTCCGATACGACATTCAAAAAACACTGATTTAATTTCCCAATTTAGCCAGATAGAACACGAAATGAAAGACTTATTAATGTTGGTCACTGGAGAAGCTAGGCAAAAAATGTTACGTAATGAACACTAGTTAGTGCCTGAACTCAACCGTCCTTCAGAGTTGAGGATATCTCAGCTTTTTTTTTGGTGAACAGTGTTGCGTGACTTGAAACAGACAGAGATGAAGTCAAACAAGGTTTGGATTGGAAATTACTCTGTCAGATAGCGATTAAAGAAATTGGCTTTCAATTAACCAGCCCGAATTCAAGAGAGCAAATACTAGTATTCAAACGGTGACCATTTGTCTATGCAAGTTAACAAATACAGAAGTTTTCTTGTATTTAATATCTGATTTTCGAACCAGCAGATTTTTACTACGATCTTTGTTGATCGTGATGTCATCAAAAGTAGATGCACAAACCATTTTTAACTCATCAAAATATTTCAGTTTTTAACTTTGTTTTGTTTCGAATGGATGAATTATTATTGGACAAAATATTGTGTGGTATAAATTTAGTAAGGGACCACTCATTTGTCATATACAGGAGCATGTTCCATTAAAAAGCTTGAATACAGTAAAAACCTTTGTAAGAACCTACATTTTTTAAGTCTAGCAAAATAGGTTCTTGTATTTTGGTGTAGTTATCGGCAATTTAGGCTAATTAGGTTCTTATTAGGTTCTTAATGATAAATTTGGATTTGGTCCTTAAATATGCAGTGTTATTCGCAACTGTATTATGATAAGCCAAACACAACTGATTACAGAATGTATGATAGTGTTGTCTCTATACCAAAGAGTTCATAAGTCAACTGTAACCCACATGGGGTTACTTTGCTAAACGGTTTCTTATATTTTTAGGTTTTAAAATGGCAATTTTCCGCCAGCAGATTCTTAAACCACTAGGTACTTACACGCGTGTTTTTACTGTAGTTAAAGAGGGGCACTGAAAAATTCAGTGAGGAGAAAGAGTACCACTGTAAAAACCTGTCCAAAATTACAGTGTTTAGCTGCTTACATTCAAAGGATTCGTAGTAACGGAATTCAATTAGGAAGTGATCAAAGACTAGATTCTTCCAGAGATAAATAATGTTGCGCTTAATCACAGTCTAAATATTTCTCTGATGCACCAGTTTCCGGAAGAATCTTTCTCAAGTGAACACGTACGTAGCGGCGATGTGTTTGCTTTCAGAATGTTTGTGTATATCCATTTCTTCTGATAAAAATGAGATAATGAGTTTCTTCAGAAACATGACTGGGTTTATACGAAAAGAAAACATCGAAACCTAGAATTGTAACCAGGAATGGTTGTTATGAAAAGAATACAAAAAGTTTGAAATTGTTAAAAGAAAAATGCTATTGAGGACTAGAAAAGGCGTTTCGATCGAGAGTCTTGGATCGTCAGAGCTTTCAGATGGAATGATAACTGGTAACGGTTAGAAAAGTTGTCCACAACTACTGTGAAATCCCACGTCAAAGTCCTGGGCTTATAATTATAACTTCATAAGGTGTTTTGGGTGGGCTTGTAAACGGGGGAGGGGGGCGGCTTATATCCGGGGGGCATATAAGCGGAACAAAAAAAATATGTTTCGGAACGACGAGATTAAACGTATCTGAGAGACTTATTAAAGCTAACATACCATTACATTTAGAGCTATCACCCTATCACCTAGGCTCGATTTCCGCTGCTTTCTCGGGTCCGGTCTAGTTCGGAGGAGGAGCGCGGGCTCCTTTCCCGGATAGCGGCTGGTGATCGAGCCTACCTATCACCCTGTTACCCTATTATTACCCCATCACCCTATTAGTCTGTAACTTTCGATTAAAAATTTTGATGTTTGTGAAGAAACGCGAAAGAAACGCACTTATGCATTAGATGGGCTTATATCCAGGGAGGGCTGACATCTGGAATAATATCTTTGTAAGCAAATAGAAGGGCTTATATCCGGGGGGGCTTATAACCGGGGGGTGCTTTAAGGTGGGATTTTACGGTATGCTAGTATCAGATAGGTGAAAAAAAAAAAACAGTACCAACTTAATACCGTCATTTCCTAAGTTGAAGTCGTTTTGAGAGTTCCACGCTTTGAGGGAACGTATTTAACGTTCACTGTACTTCGTCATATTTTATGATCGTGATCGATCACGTGCGGTTTAAGAAAAAAAAACATGACCGCTTTCTTTTGTTAAAGCCCCTGTTGTTGATTGCCCTCGCCGTAATGCGTAATTTGATCTTCGCGTAATTAATGTCGCCCGGATCTCTTGTAGGGATTGTAATCGTCCCTCTTTGAATTACCTCCTCCGGTGCCTTTGTAACAACATTCCACGCTTTGTAGTGCACTTAGACATTTTTCCTATGCAGTCACTGTTCCTTTTTGTTAGTGGAATTACGGCCGTTCCTACTCAGTCGTGTTCCTTTTTTGTAGTACTTGACTGTCCCTTTTTTGCCCAACTTCTCCCCATCTTAGTCACCCTGAGCAATAGCTAATGAGTGGTCCCTCAGTTTATTACCAATATTATAAAAGATATCCTTCTTTAGAGTTTGATGAGCCGCGTCACCTTAAATAAGGGTGTTTTTTTTTGTACCATTTTAACTGTATTAAACATGAAGCAAAGTCTCATTAAAGATTACGATGTATTTATAGTTTACGACTTGTCCTTTCTTTTGCGATTAATCCTGGATTCCGTTTAATCTTTCTATCACCTGAATTGCCATTGTCTGAAAAAAAAAAACCGCTCAGGTGCCACTTGATGCATCTTCAGTCTAATCCCTGAACTCTCACTTAGGAATGAAAGAGTCCATGAGAACCTGCATGCGCATGCTTCGAATGCCGCCATTTCCCCGCCCCCCCGAACAACCGGGGGGAGGGGAGGGGGGAAACAATATGGCAGAACGAGATTTGAACGGTTGTCTGGAAAACCCGAAAAGGGAACAGTGGCGAACAGTCGCGAATAGTCGTCAATAGTCACCGCTTTAGTTTAAGACTGATCTGGATTCGTTAAAACTGATCACGTGGACGCTGATAGATTCGACCCAACCTCGTTCCCAGGCTCTCTCTTCTCTGCCTCCCTTGGTCGCTAAAGGAGGCAGAGAAGAGAGAGCCTGGGAACGAGGTTGGATTCGACCAAGCACGTTCTGTGAAAAAACAGTAAAATACAACTGTGAGGTAAGTGTTCTGTGATAAGTTTACTAATTGAAAAGACACAAACGAGCTGTTCTCATAACCGGTTATAAAAACAACATCTAAGCTATATCGCGTTAATTGATTATTCAGGTAAGCAAAAGAATTTCAGTGAATTTATTACTTTTCTTCTTAGGACTCAGGCTAGGGCTGCATTGAGAAAACAGAGAACACAAGGATAACACAATAAAGACGTATTTACGCTTTTGCAGCGGTGAAAACAGAAGAAATCACGTTTAGAAACACCTTTTAATTTGTCCTGATAAGCGTCTATGCTCTGCGAGGTTGACTTCGAGGTAGTGGGTACCAAATTTCTGTCATTCGTCACTATTCCCACCCTTATTTGCCACTATTCGCGACTGCTCACTACTATTCGCACTATTTAACAATTATTCACCGAAGTGGAGGTGAATAGTGGTGGATATTTACCGAGCGGCGAGGTAAATATCCATTACTTACACCGACACCGAGGTGAATAATTGTTTTAGTATATACCACACAAGCTGAATAATTAGCGGACCAAAACGTTATTTTATGTGTGTATGTGTGACAAGCGGTCGGAAATTTTAAAATCTCTCGCGCCTGCTGCCCGGAGGTGAATAGTACTTGCTAATCACCTCCGAGTTAACCAATCAGAGCGCGCGAAAAGCACTATTCACTTGTGTGGTATATACTAATCGACATTATAACCCATCAAATATTTACGCTCGCGCGCGATTGGTCTAAAGGTGTCAAGCGACCGAACATGCCCCGGCTAAAACAGGGGAATATCCTCGGATATTCCCCAAGTGATATTCCCCAGATTCCAAAACTTCAAGCTAGGCTTCAAGTTTGCAATTAAAAGTAATGTCAAGACGGGAGAACGGTTTGCTTTTGTGACAGAAGAAGAACTTAACCTGCCTGTTGATAAAGCAGTAAGTACCAGAAAACACGAAAAAATCAACGTTAAAAGTTTTAAGCGGAAATCAGATTCCGCGTGTTGCCAAATATATTTGAAGGACAACAAACACAATAGCCCCCATTTGGCTTTAAGAATATGCTCGGGTATTTGTCCTTGGACATTACCTGTTCCTCGAGGCTCATAGTTTTCCTCGAGCTTTGCTCTCGGAAAACTGTTCGCTTCTCGGAACAGATGATGTTGCGGACAAATATCCGAGCATATTTTTGCGCCAAATGGAGGCTATTCTCGGTTTTCACCAGTCATGTGATCAAAACTAACAATCGTAACCGTTCAATAAATAAATTCAAGAATCTGGCGTATGATAGATGATTGCTATATAAACAACCTCGCCAAGAATCAGGTTTCTGCTGTTTTTCATTCGCCCGTTATTCGCAGAAGTGTGTCACCCAAATTTATAGAGCTTTGTATGGAGACGCCATGTTTGTGCCCTTCGGAGGGGCACAAACATGGCGGCCGTAAAATAACAAAAACATCTGTCGTTGAGTTTTGCAATTGAAACGAAAATTTTTACTCTAGAGCTCCGACACATTGAAATAAATGCTTCTTCCAGTGCAAGCATCGTTTATTTAGCAAAAACTAAAGCGGTAACTCATATTTTGGCCTACGCGACAGTCTTTTCGGACCGCCATTTTCATGTCACACAACGCAAAAGCTTGGAGTGCTCTATTACAAAAAGAACTCTTTCGAGCTAAAAGATTGTCAAACGTCACGTTCCTATAGGGTCTTTTATCTGATGAAACTAAAACCGCGGAAGGAAAGATAATTTCTAATTTTGGAATATATTCGAGTGTTCCAGACACCCGATTTAAACGAAGCTTATATCCTCCCCAGTGAGTATGCGGGAAATGCGCCACTCGGGTGTTATTTCAGTAAAGCACTCGTGTCTACAATAAATACCCTAACGATAACTTGATGGCTACACTGAATACTGTTTTTCCGCCCTAAACACCCTACCTGACTGATACTAAAATCATCCTTGATTTCGTGGCTTGACACGACTCGTACGACCCGTAGAGGTCGTGAAACAATGCCTTACGGATTGATCAGGTCGTAAAACAATGGTGACCTGCATATCATTAGTAAGACAGATACTCTGACCGTACGACCTGTACGAGTCATGAAACAATGGTCTACGAGTCGCACAGTTGGTGAAGTGCATATCATTAGGGAGGCTTAGGGTGTATATACAAGTCGATGAGTCGTACGTGTCACGGACTTTTATACACACCTCAAGTCACACCAATGATCTGCACTTCACCAACTGTACGACTTGTAAACCATTGTTTCATTACCTGTACTAGTCGTTGGAGTCGTACGAAAAGGAAGATGTCATTTACGGGTCCTATCAGTTCGTGTATATTGGACAAACCTCATTTTGGAAAATAGCCATAAATTTGCTTTAAAACTTCTTATCGCCTCGCCTTCGAATCTAGGGGAGGGATCGGGGGCCAAAGGTGCCAAAAGGTGCCAAAGGTTTAAACAGATTTTACGCGTATACAAGTTAAGGGCAGCAGGGGTAGCACATCTTAAAAACCAAGTCCATTATTTTATTATTCGCGTCAGAGGTCCGACGGCAAATCTGCATTCCCAGCATTCCTAAAAGTTAACGGTAAGTGATCGAGTGACAAATTCGCACCCATAACAATACTTCTGAATGTCAATAAATTTGGCATTCAGATGCAAAAAATAACTTAAAAACTACAAAAGATACGAATGTTATTAAATTCCCTTTTTTTAGTAGAATACTTATTTTTGCAATATATTAAAATGCTCCTGGAAACACAAATAACAACAAGAATCACTGATTCATCGGTTCTAATTGCAACCACTCATCCCTGAAAAACAACAGTCTCAAGATACCATTTGTGTCTAAAAATAAAAATAGCTCGTCACATTTGCTTGTAACAAGAAAAACTTTCAAAACGCAGTGGTCTTGTTCAAAACTAGCTGTCCTCATATTAGACTAAAGCCTAGTTACTCTTCATAAGAAAAATGGGGCCGAATTGACCTGAACAAACAGTTCAAAACTTCTGTTCCACTATGAGGCTTCACAGAGTTTAAGATTAGAGATCATTAGACATTGTAGAAACTCAAAGAATTATAATTATTAAAGCTGACACAATGATCGCTCGCAACAAAAACTTCAACCCGAATACTTCGCACAGTTCAACTACAGTCTTGGACAGAATAATATAAGAAATAAAACCACCCCTCCCCCGAATCAATGATGAACTCGCGCTACAACCAAAACGCGCCATTTTTTCCGTCATTGAAATGGGGGGAGGGGTGGTCTTAATTTTTCATTTATTTTGTCCAAGACTCGTTCAAGACAAGAGGCAGAGGAGGGAGAGCCTGGGATCCAGGTTGCCCCTTGGTTGCCCCATCGTGACAAGGTCTTGGGTCGTGACCAATGAACATCTAGTGCTAGTCTCTGTGTCTTGGCTCTAAAGAAAAATGGCGGCTGGAATGAATGAGGAGTGGTAAACTCGGTTATGAGAGGTTTGCTGTAATATTGTTGCTCGATAAATTTCAATGATGACTAGCCCTTGGTCAAGGCAATCATTCAAAGCAAAAGTTGCTCCCAAAAGCTGTGACTCTAGTCCTTTTACGCCGCGTCAGTCTTTAACCTACTCTTCAGTTATTGGTGACACGACCACAATTGCAAGGTAAGCAAGTCAAAGTCAACGTTTAGGTCAGCCTATCTGCAAACGTCTCCAATTTCCTTTGCTTCAAGCGGAAAAGGGACGTCTGCGAATCGTCATTGCTAATCATGTTCCAGAATCCTGCTGTAACGTTTTAGATTTATTTTATTAAGCCAACTTGGAGCTGGTCACGTTGTGAGTTCGTAATATGTAATACAAGCTTACTCGTGGATGGTGAAGATTCAAGTGAATATATAGTGTCAGAGAAGCCGTAATTCAGGCCTTATTTTCACAGCTGCTTTTAATATACCCAACTTTTTAAGTTGTGCATATAACTGATGGAATCTATCCATTTTCTCGCTTGTGATTGGTTTATTTATATATCAGAATTTAATGACTACTTCAAACCCAACCCTGGCTTTAGCGATTCAAGTGGAACAAGTGATTCAAGTGGAGAACAGTCTGGTGCTGGAAGAAAGAAACCCACTTGGAAATATCCGTGTGCAGTTTGCGCTAAACCTGTCTGCTACAACCAAAAGGGAATTTTTTTGTGATCGATGTTCTAAATGGCATTATATAAAGTGCATTAATATGAGTAACACTACTTATGTGAGTTCCTCTGATGATGAGTGACACTGTAGGAACTGCTGTTTTCTCTTTAGTTTCTCTGATTGCTTTTTCAAGCACACTGCTGACATTGTGGAAGCTAAAGACGTAGATCCTCATCTATCGTTTTCATCCAATTCTAGAGGTTACTTGCAGAACAATTTTCCCAAGGTTTTATTGTTGAATGCAAGGAGTATACATAATAAGGTCCATGACCCTTAAGCTCTACTATTTATTGATTTCATTTTAAATTACTTGTAATGGTTGTGAATAGCCAACTGGTCTGCCTCCTGCCGGTTGGGATTTTAAAGCCTGTTACATTTAGTTGATGTATTTGTTTCTTTCATGTAAAGTGGCATGCCTGTGAACTAGCTAGGTGTAGCTTAGCGCATTGACCACTATAAACAACAACATTTTGAACATTTGAACATTTGAACACAGTTTACATCCTCAAGAGTACAATGTGTATCAGAAGGACAGATGCAATCAATGTGGTGGTTTTAACACAACACACATATACAGACATATTTTAGGTGTTCACAGTTTTGTAAATAGGACAGTAAGGAAATTTGTGTGTAGTTGAACGGCCATAATCAGAACTGAGTGTCTTCATATTATGTTAATTATTATTTGAGTGTCTGTATATTATGGAGGAAGAGATTGTAAAAATTATGGCTTCCCTGAGACCAAATGAACTGTCTATGAACAGGATCACATGCAACTTGCACCAGCACTCTGTGACGGGAAGGGCAACCTTTGCCATGTATAAAATTTAATGTAAATGTAAAAACTGCGAATATATGGGTGTCCATGGACTTCATGTTATGGAAGGTCACAAGACATTTTTATTTGTATGGTTTGTTGACAGTATTTTATTTTCTGATTGCAGAAGTCAGCAAAGAGCTCCGTTAACTTCTCATTTGTTAGAAGAGACTGATAAACATCGTGTGGAAACCTTTGGTCATCCTTTACCAGTTCAGATTAGTGAGAAGCTTACCAACAAAGAGGGTAAGTCTCAGGGGTTTTGATGTTGTTTTATTGTTACCATATCTATTTTGGTTTTGGCTAAATTTGTTTGTTCCTCAGTTTCTAGACCCAGAGCGCTAAAAAAAAATTGTCTGCGTTTTGCCAGATTCAAAATTTCAGTGAAAAGTGACAGAACATTTGTAAAATAGGTTTGAAAAAAATATGGAGTGATTGTACAAAAATCTCTCTTGGAGAAACATATTCTGAAAGAAAAAATTTGCAGACATGTTTATGTTTTTATATGCCAAACTAGGTACTGTCTAAATTTGAGGGCAAATGAACAAATTCCCTTTGACTGGTAGCTTTGAAAAGGTGATTTGAATGTTCACATTTAGAGGTCATAAAAAATTCAACAATTCATTTTATTTCAAAATTCTTAGTATAGTCTGATAGCCCACTCTATAAGTTTTAATTTGATGTAGGGGTTTAGTTTCAAACCAGATCTGCTACATCACTTGGACTCAAGATAAAGGTATGTGTATGTATGTATATATATATATATATATGTCTGGATTTATGAAAACGGTGTTAAAGGCTGAATCAAGTGTTTTTTGATTTAAACTATTTGTTTTTTTCATTTTTTTTTTCTGCTTTTGCTATGACAGCAACTTGTAAATCTTACCTAGCATGAAATGTAAAGACTCCCTGCCGCATGTTTCATTTATTTAGGTATTTTTTTT